ATTAATGAGTCTGAGCGTTTTAGTGTTCTAATGACTGATGCGTTTTAGAAGTAATTAATGGTTTCTGGTAGGGGTAGTCATTGGAATAAAACAGTTTATATAGCAAGCGTTTGAAGGTTACAATAAAGTGACACGTCCTATTTCTAAGGGTAAACTAATCCTGTATGTTCCGTACTGTCTTTATGCATCCATGCTGCTAGTTTATTTATAGTTTAAAGATTGCTAAGGGTGTTGGAGTGCGTCTTTTAGGTGCTGTAGTAGATTAGTGATTGATTCGTTCTAGGAGTTAATAGTTTATTAATATAATCAGTAGAGTGAAACAGTCTGTACAGAGAGCGTTTGAAGCTTGTAACTGAAGAGCAAGTTCTGATATCTATAGGCAGGCTATTCCATATTTTAGAATACATGACTGTGAAGAAGTTTTCACGGAGTGTTAACCTAAAAGAATGAGTTGTCACTGTGCAAGTTTGGTTACGTAGATCGTAAGAACCTTCCTGCGCGAATTGTATGTCCCTGTTCCCTGAGAATGATATTTTGTGAAGGACCTTAAAGAAGAATATTAGGTTTATCATAAGTCGCCTTGTCCAGAGTGGGTCAAGTTTTAGGATCATACACCGTGAGATGTAGTCTTTCTTACAATCATAGCCTAGGAGTTTTGAGGTAAAATATCGTTGGATACTTTCCATCCTTAGCTTATCACGTGTGAGAGTGCTGCTTATAACAAATGGACAGTATTGTAGTAGTGCTCTGACACATGTTTTGTACAGAATTAGCTTGGCTTCATTGTCGTGAAAGTTCCTGAGTATGCATCCTAAGAGCATCCTCGATTTTCTAGTCTGTGCTGCTACTTGCTCAGAGAATGTCAGGTCACTAGAGTACCTAAGCCCTAAGTCAACAACACTTCGGAGTCTTGTTAGGTTAGCAGATTGGAGCGTTAATTTCAGGTCAATTGAGGGTGCGCCAAAGCAGATCCAGCCACATTTGTTCAGATTGAATTGGAGATTCCATAGGGACGACCAAGCAGTCATTTTATCTAATTCCTTCTGCACTACATTCTCGAAGTTCCCTAAGTCATCACTTTGGAATGTATAAGCTACTTTTAGGTCATCCGCAAAGATGAATGGTTTCCCGTGCGTGAAGCAAGCGCATATGTCATTGATGTATAGCGTAAATAGGAGGGGTCCAATGACACTACCTTGTACTACACCAGAAGTGATAGGGCTAGGTTTGGAGGTTGCAGACCCGAGTTTAACTATTTGGGACCTATTGTTAAGGAATGATTTAAGCCAGCCTAATAGTGGGTCACGTATTCCTAGGGAGTTCAGCTTATTTGTTAGCAGTAGATGGTCAACACGGTCAAATGCCTTAGAAATGTCAAAGTAGATGACAAGTACTAGTTGCCGTCTGTCACGACTGCTGGTTACGAAATTGAAGAAGTCTAGGTGACACGTTAAACATGATCTGGATTTCAAGAATCCATGTTGCTTCGGACTTATAATATTGCGGCTAAGCATATGTTTGATTAAGTTATCTTTGACTAGTCTCTCCATAATTCTAGACGTTATAGGTGTGATATTGATCGGCCGGTAGTTACTGACTTCAGTTTTCGAGCCAGATTTGTGTTTAGGCATAATGAATGTAGTCTTCCATATGTCAGGGTAAGTTTGAGTTTCTAGGGACATTGTGAATATTTTAAGCAGTAGTAGAGGAATGTCAGGGCCACCATATTTATAGAAGTAAGATGATATACCGTCGGTACCGAAACCTTTTGAACATTTGAGGGTTCTTATAGTTTGGTTAATATTAGCGTAATTGAATTGAACAGTGCTGATTTGGTTTGGTGTGAGTGGAGATGGAGTTTGTGCCATATTAGTAATAGAGTGTATATCGAGTAGCTGAACTGAGGGCTTAAGGTGGTTACCTGCAAACGTTTTGTTGAAATTCACTGACTCGGCCACCACTCCAAACATTTATGTTATGAAATTCTTTAGTTTTCATTTCTCCAGATCGCTCTGGCTTCGAAGTACTGCAGAAACTTTGGAGGCAGACTGCAGATAACTGTCCCATTTTCGCTATTGTGCTGGAAGAATATGCCCCCGGAAATATTGCAGTGAGACCGAAGAAAATGCTAGCTGGGTCAATATGTAGGTTAGAGTCAGTTATAATTATGGAGCATGACAATTAAGCTAGAGATGGAATGTTTGACTCTTCTAAGTTAATTAGTCTAGAAGAATGCCCAATCCTTGTGATGCATTCACATACATATGATCAAATGACGAGCTGGTATGGGTTGAAAATATTAGACAGCAATCTGATGCTAGGATAGATAATAGATGATTGTTAGCCTGAATTCATGGTTGATGCGACCGAGTGGACATTGATTATTCATCGTTGAGATTTCCTTTGATGCGTGAAGGGTATATACTCGGTACTGTGAATAATTAGGCTATTGTTGTCGTATACGACACAATAAGTATACTTATCTTGGTTAAATTTGACATTTGTGTGCCTCCTCGGTATGGGGAATATTTTGGCGCATAGCAGCCAACATAGGCAGCAACGAATAAAAAGCAGTAACTCTCGGTTACAACGTTTAGTTAAGTAGAGTGAGAGATTAATCACTCCACCTCAAATCATCGAATCACCACCAAACACTTGAACACAGGGATGACGTATATATATATATATGTATATGAAGAGTCTCAATGAAAAGCAGCAGGGAATCAGAAGGTATGAAACACTGGGAATACTTGTTGACATAATTAGGGCAACGAATTGTGCTGTAAACGTCAACTAACAAGGATTTGATGAATTCGTCAAATTTCGGTAGAAGTAGTGCGTAGTACACTGACTGTTGAATAAATAAATTTTACTAAACCAGTCATAAAAAACAACAGCTGCTAATGTTTTGCAAGGGGTATGCAAGGATAAAATTCAGGTAATGCATTGCAGTACAGTTACATCACTTCAATAAAAAATCAGTTATGAGCGAGAAAAATTAAGATTGTCAGGAATTTCAAGCTTTATAACAACAAATAAATAAGATAATGGTACTGTCAGAAACATATTTTTAGCTGAATCAAGTATAATAATGAAATGAAGTGAAATATATGAATAACACTTAGTCACTAGAAGGTGCTATCGTGGTAAATTCAAAGCGACTAGGATTTCCTTCTGAACACAGTTTACAAACTCGATCTCTGTCTAGGTGACGATAAGTTTTAGCGTATGTTTAGAATCAAATTCGTCATCTGCATAATGTCCAGTTTAACGTGAGAAATCCCTATATTTTTCATACATTTATTCCCCTTAATGCATTTGAATAAAACAAGAACGACAGTTTTGCAGAATAAAATGGTGCCATCATTTATTTCGTTGGCTTCTCATCATCTGCATACAGGCCAAAGTCATTATTAAATATATCTACAGAAGCAATTTTAATATACTCGAACAAAGTTCATTTTTAAACAAAAATCCATCAATCAGTATATGCATACAGTTATGTAATGTAAATATATAATGTAAAATATAGAATTCCAAAGACAGCCGTGACACTGTCTTAACTTACAGTATGCTACAATCCATGTATAAACACTCACTCCCCTTGCATTCAACCAAGGCTACCACAGTCTCTTGGTGGAACATACTATGCAGAACTTTATCGGAGACTAGGAATCTTCACCTTGTAGTCAAGAAAATAGCACAAAGAAGTCAAATTGGTTTGGCTTTTAATAACGATACTGGAAATTGGGAATTGAATTTACAGTTTGAAATTTTGAAGTAGGTGCTACGTTTACTCAGTGTGTGATTAGTGAAAAAGGCTACAGTCAGTTTCTAGGGCATGATGAGTTCCTGTGTCGGCTAGTTATATGTTTTCGTGAATTCGTTTTCCATTGAATTTTAAAGGTTTTTCTGGATGTTTTGCTCATTTTGCAGTGTGTAGGTCAGTTTTTGTCACTGGGTGCTACTATTTAGCTCATTTTTAGCCTGAAGTTCACAGTTATTATGTTGGTAGTCAAAGATTATTGTAAACCTGCAATCATTGAGCTAATCAACGTATACTATGCTAATATAGTAACATAGACTATGCTAATAATAGTAACAGTAGACTCCCTTACTGTTTTGCCATTGTTTGACAGCGAAACTTTGCGCTCATTTTTCAACATGAGTGGCACTAAATCGAACCTACTGGGTTTGCTTATCAACGTTGTTCCAGCCCTCATAGGACATATTAAGCATGGACTAGCGTTACTCCAGAGTGGAAAGTTTTGACTCAGCACGCAGGTGTCGTTTTAAGCACGACCTGTGTCATTTCAGAACATAGTGGGTAAATATGATCTTCAGTTACCGTAGAAAGGCATTATCGAGGAATAGGCTACAATAAATTTAGAATATATATATATATGTATATATATTGGACACTATTTTGAACAATAATGGTCATACCCAATGGCAACTTTCGGCATTACGTAGTCAGATGAAAAAGAGGTGAAAATATCCAGTTATCAGGGCATAGAAAGACTGATAACTGTTTCGTTCTGAACGCATAAATTAGGTTTCAGGCGCTTGATGGAGATGGCTTCAGCAAACTTAAAGAGAATCGAACTCTCTAACCTATTGATAATTTTGAACGATCTTGCGACGTCCACCTCACAACCCGTATCAAGGGGGTGCCTTGCGATGGCATTGTTTAAAGCATTTGCTCCCTTTAGACATAAGCTTTTTGGTACACGTTCGTAAATATCGTAGATATACCCTTATTTCTGTTCTTCCAATGTAACTGCTCCCGCAGATACATGTAAATTTGTACATACAGTTGGAGTTAACATGAATAGGATATCTATCAAATTTTGATTGCACTGAAGAGCAAGTTGTTTGATAGACGGGAACGATCTTAGCTGCAGGATAGGCTGTGGCTAATGACGTACTCAGTCTTATGTTGACCATTGATGCAATGTTTTCACCTTTATAATCAAGTTGAATGTTACAAATTATCAATGGGTAAAAGAGTTCGATTCTCTTCAAGTTTGCTGAAGCCATCTCCATCAAGCGCCTGAAACCTAATTTGTGCGTTCAGAACGAAACAGTTATCAGTCTTTCTATGCCCTGATAACTGGATATTTTCACCTCTTTTTCATCTGATTACGTAATGCTAAAAGTGCAACTGTGAAGCATTCATGTGGGGGTGCTCGATGTCCGGAGATGACAGTGTTCGAGGATAGAGCTGTTGCTATTCTTCTTTTCTCCTCTGGCTAAACCCAAGCTGGGCAGTGTTCCAGAATACGTTTGTGGACTTGACGTTGCGTACGGCCGATATACTTTGCTCCACACGAGCAAGTAAATTGATAAATACACATTGAAGTGGTGAAAAGCGGTATCTTGTCCTTAGCGTTAGACTGGATTAACTGTTTGCAGGAAAATGTGATGCGTAGAGTGGCTGTTGGAAATGTCTTCTTCAGACTTTTAGAAAGGCGGTTTCTGAGAATTTCCGCTGCGATATCATCTTTGAATGCTAGGTTCATGAGGAGAGTCTTCTTAGGAACCGTTGTGATGTTTGATACCGGAGGCTTTTCCTTCATGTTTTTTTCGATAAATCTTGGTGGATACCCATTCTCTAGTAGGGTTTCACGTAATAAATTTAATGCTTTCTCTACCATGTCTTCCGAGCAGATTTTTCTAATCCTTGAACACAATGTACGTTCCAGGTTTCTCTTTCGGATCAGTGGAACAAAGTTCTGGAAGTTGATAAAGTGTCCAGTCCATGTTGGCTTGCGGTATATCGACCTTTGGATCGTACAGTTGTGTCTTCTGGTGTGTAGTACATCGAGGAATGGAATTGAGTTGTTCGATTCGCGTTCTAAGGTGAATCTTATTGATGAATGCTCTGCGTTGAAGGTTTTGAGGAGGGAATCTAAATCACATTTTTCATCACAGATTATAAACGTATCATCTACATATCTCTTGTATAAGTGCAGTTGACATATCAAGGGATCAAAGATGTTGTTTTCGAGACTCGCCATGAAACAGTCGGCTAGGAGTGGACCAAGAGGAGATCCCATGGCTACTCCATCTTTCTGTACTTTGAACTGCTCATTGAATTTGAACTGGATATTGGACGTACATCTGAGAAGTTCCTTCAGGTAGTTTATGAGGAGAGGAACTTCTAGGTTGTTGGTTTCGATGTACTCACAAATGAAGCATATTGTTTCGGTTAGGGGGATACTTGTGAATAGAGAGGCGACATCTAATGAGATCATTTGTCTTTCAGACACGTTGACATTCTTCACTGAGTCGATGAAGTCAAATGTATCTCTGAGGCTATATTTTGTCATATGTCTTTTAACTGGTTCGAGGATATCAGCTAGCCACTTCGCGATTTGTTGATATGGTGAGTTAACTATATCTATGACCTGTTGAGATGCTTAGGACATGTGATAGAGACATGTGTTACACATGCCTAACCATCGATCGCCGTCCTCGACGGGCAATGTTAGCTGGCATAGGATTGGTCAGGCTGGAAAAGAGCTGGTTAGTGGTGATCAAACCAAAACATGGCTTCATCAGTCAATCAAATCCACAACAGTTAGTTTAAGTCAGTCATGTAGGATGGTGTCGACTTCCTGTTTTGGGTCCTCAAGATGGTTAACACCAATGAAGGCTGGAGACAATTGTTGATATGGGTCGAAATCGTTCTTAGTGATGGCACAGAGGTATCCATTTTGTGTGACTTATAATACCCAATGAAACTATATCGTTCTTCTGTATTACTATTCGCCTTGCCTAATAGCTCTGTTTTGCATTTCTTTTTACTTCCCTTTCTTGCTTTGTGTGCTAAGTGAAGTGTGGCGACTCGAACTAGTGCACATCTGTGTAAAGTGCTATGTTGAAACCAGTCAGTCAGTCAGTCAGTCACTGTCTTAATTTAGAAATTAAACTACTATCCTGTATATGTATATTTATATATTACTGGGGAATTCAGTGCATAAATCTCTCGACTGACGCATATTATATTACATATAGAATTGTTATCTTCTTGTCTTTTCTATATATTGTAGATAAAATTACGCCTATGGAACACGTAAATAGGCAAGTTAAAACTTTGTCAGCTCGGCTAAGCTGTCTTACACGTTATGTGGTACATAGAAAACGTCGGTTGGAGTCAGCAGTAAGTCTACAACTCATGTTATTTTCTTTTTGTTGTTTTGTGTTCACGTTTAGTTATCAGGTAGTCTGTACTTTTCTACATATCAATCACTGTGTCAACGTTTGGTATCGTATTGTTCTTATAATTGGTGTTTCCCAGATTACGTCATCCTTGACGTATACATGATATCTGGCTATCGATCAAAGGATGTGTGTACTGTGGAGCAGTTCTCTCTTTACCTCTTTATGGTTGTGACACATGGTCATTGGAAGTAGAAGGCTTGGGAAGGGTAATTGTTTGCGGTCTATCTCCCGTGTTCATTGGTATAATATGGTGAGTTATATTTGGGTTAGGCTTAGTGGTAGGTAACGAAGGGAAGTCAGTCAGTCAATGAGTTTGTGAAGTTATATCGATTGAGGCGGCGAAGACACGTGTTACTCATGCCAAATCACTGCTTTCCTCAGTAAGCAATGTTAACTAATAGACGATTACATTGGAAAAGAGTGATAGGGTGGTTAAACCAAAACCTGTCATCAATCTATGGAGTACTTAACAGTTGGTTTGAGTCACATACTACGGAGTTTTAGACTGTATGATTAGGGTCATTGAGATTCCAGGAACAAATGGCTACCGACTGTTATCGATACGGGTCAAAACCGTTCTCTATAGCTCAGATGCATCAGTCAGCCAGTCAGTCAGCGCACGTGTGTACCTTGTATGTCATCTCCTAGATTCATTTGATCATAATGTTTTCCCATATTACTATTCCTTTCTCTCGTACATTTCTGTCTTTCATAGTTTTGTTTCTTTCCTCTAACACTTTGTATGCTACTTAGAGTTTGGGAACTTGAACTAGTGCATTTGTGTACAAAGTTCTGCCTTGAAAATCAGACAATCAGTGTTATAAGTTCGTGTGGATTCTGATATGTAGTGCTTATACAATTCGCAAGTTACTACAACTCTTTTTGTTGTACACCGAATCCTAATTAATGAATGATTGGTTTTTTTTACTAAACCTGATATTACTTTGTAAGTTATTTAGACAAATGCTTGTACTTGTGGAATTACAATTTATGCCTTGGACTTGTGATAATAGGGATTAGATTGACTGACTGACTGACTGAATGTTTTCAATATAGAACTTTGCAGAGAAGTGTAACACTTGGAGTTGCCACATTTCATGTATCACACAAAGCATAATAGAGTGAAGGGAGGTTCAAAAGAGAGATAATAAGTAGAAGCTAATTACTGACCAAATTTTATTACAGGGGTAAGTTGATCGGTTAGGTTTCGAAGCCGGTATACTCCTGGGTATGCGTTGCTCAGGCAGGGGGCATTTCTGATATCACATACCACTAGGATACTTCCTGCAGATTTGTCCATTCCATTCTCAATGCCTTCTGCTTATAGGTTCGGTTCACTGCCAGAGTCCCTTGTTGCTTGTTCATCCTTTCTGACTGGTTATTTGGCTTTTGGTATCGGAATGGCGAAGTTAGCTGTTATTCAAATGTTGGTTTGCAGAGATTTGATTAGTTGCAGAATTCCATCATAAGCTGACATTAGTTAGAGAATCATTGGAAAAATATGGGAGTATTGGACACCTACTTCGTCCCAGTTTGTGACTTTTCATCAGCACACGCCCACCGGGATTCGAACTCAAGACTTTCCGCTTACAAGGCCAGCTCGTAGACCATTATGGCAAAGATAGCTGTTGTCGGGACTGCAAACTAGACTGGGTTTATAAGTGGAACCTGGACACCTTCCGCATGAGACTGGTGAGTATTCCAACAGTGAATCACCAGCTCCAATGTTTTTAAGAGAATGTAGTAAAAGAACTTCGTTATATAGATTATTTGTTTACATTCGGTTCAACATTTGCTTTCTTCGCTATTATTATTCTAATTATTATTATTATCTTTAGTAATATCGACTTTTTTGTTTTCGTTTTTACTTCAGTTGGAAAAGATCAATGCTCTTGAAAAACAGTTTTCTGATCATCTGTCAAATTGTACACCTTCTTCACGGTGTACACAGCGGTCTATAGGTTGTCAGGTACCTCCGAAATCAAAACCTTCGGGTTTTCTGTTGTCAAGTCCAAAGCATTCAGTCACTATATCGTCTGACATGAGTGATGTCTGTTCTTCCTCTTCAAGCAGTAGTGGCGCAATACAATGTCTCCAAAGAGCATCCACTTCAGTGGACGAGGATACATCAAAAATGTCTAAGAAACTTGAGATTCAAAAATGTCAGGCTGCCAACTCACCTTCCTCTCAAAGGTAATAATCATCTCTTCATAGTGTTGTTTTAATTTTGTCCCTTTTTTTCTGTTAGACATCCCAACAGTTTGTCTGTGTTAAGGTTGGTATAGGTGGTAGCCTTACTGTCAACCTTCTCTCTTTATTCTGGCCTTACTATTGGCTAGTTAATTAATTATAGACGAGGTTTAGGAGTGTGTTGGAGGTGGGAGTCGAATCCGTACCATCCGTTTGTGTGGTTGGCGAACATTTCATTGAACTATCGGGCGCATGGCTTGACTAGATTAGTCCTCTGACTACTCGCTGTGTAGTCTCTATTATTTGTTACGTACGGAAGTTTGCGACTATACTTATTTTACAAATTCCAATGTACGTCTGTGTCTAAACTTGATGCACTGCTGCTGCCTTATATACAGATTGAATTCTGTTTATATCTTGTAAAAATGCTTCTAATATATGGAAACTTTTCAAAAAAATTACTGGTGGTAAGTAGATGAATAGTATTCCTTATTCATTTGATGTGTATACACTAAACAAGTCTTTCACACGTTCTCGCACAAATGCCAAGCTTTCTAGTGTCACAAGTGTTAATGAAACCTACTTCCCTGGTTTTAATACAAATTATGTTCTAAAATGTCTCAAGTCGCTGAACCCTTCTTGTAGTTTAAGTCCAGATGGTTTTTCTAGTGTTATTCTTAAAAAATGTGCAGATATCCTGTGTTATCCACTCAGTGACATATTTAATGAATCTTTTTCCAGAAATGTCGTGTCAGACGTTTGGAAGAACAATAAAATTGCACCTGTATCTAAGTTATCTACTAGAACATGTTTTAAATCTGGACTTATTTCTGTTTCCTCTCCTTTTCTAAAAACTATGGAAAAGTTGATCTTACTTAATCTTTAACCTTTACTTAAGGCCTTTACCGATCCCAAATAATTCGCTTGGAGTCGATTGGTGATCGATATAGTTCGAAATTGTTGTCAGTGGTGGTACAGTTGCATCGACTTTCTGTCCACTGAAACCCTATTGTCTTTCTATGTTACTACCGCTTCTCTGTCGCATTTCTGCTTATAATTGTGTCTTTTTGAATTCCTGCTTTCCGTCTTTTGTTTACCACCTTTGCGTCGTGGTACATGGAATGTGACAACTCGAACTGTTACACTTCTGTGCAAAGTTCTATGTTGAAACCAGTCAGTTAGCATGAGATAGCGTCATTCATTTCTCTCTGGTAGAGAAAAATTTCAGTAGGTTGGCTACACAGAAGTCGCACATCCCTGCATACATTCTAGTGTGTGGTGTGTGCTACTGTCAAGATTTATCAGTAGTATATAAAGAGACGAGGATGTCAAATCGAGCGAGAAACACATGCTCATCAACCTGAAACCAATCTGGAAGTCTTCGTCACTCAGCCAGAATCAACAACAAAATTCGGACCTTCAATACAAACGTCAAGTCAGTTCTATACGGACCAGAAATTTTGGCGGGTGACAAAGAATATTTCCAACAGGTTGCGATGCAAACCTTTATGAATAGCTGTCTTCGCTGGATCTATACTGAAGATCAGATGGCCGGGCCGGAAAGAATCACCAACAAGAGACTATGGGAATAAATAAGACGAGAACAAACCGATCGCCCAACAAATATGCAGGAGAAAGTGGAGATGGATGGATTAGACACTCGCTGAGTAGGCGGCTGGATGACATCGAGCGCGTGTCAGGCTATTGCTCGAGTGGAACTAGGCCGAAAGGGAAGCGGTGAGTTGGTCGTCAGTGCAAGGGTGGCATGGAGGAGATCGTGTGAAGATGGTTTGAAACAGTATGGACTAACATGGATGGAGGTGAGAAGTACAGAAGAAGACAGAAGCAAGTGGAGACATGCAGTTGAATCCCTATGTTCCACTAGGAACCTAAGGGAACAATATTAATAATAATATTAATATAAAGAGACGTCCATCGGAAGAAAAAAAACATCTAATAGCGGAGAGATAGAGTTGACGTGAGACGTGGCAAATGAACCTGTGTTATGGGTAGGTGGGGGGGGACATGAAAAGAAGACGAAGAAACGAATTACGAAAGGCAGAAATAATACAAACGATGATTTTAATTTAAGGCGGACATACTTTCCCCATGTATATATGTGTATATCAAATTCCAAATAAACATCCCGTTATCAAGTCTGTTGTCTTCTACTATTAGATTAGTACTCGAAATACCTCTTCAACTAGAACGAATACACCGGGGTCGAATTCGATTGTAAAGCAATTTTGAAAATGGTACTTGGGTTGACATCATGAACTCTATTCTTAAATATAAAACACCACAAAGGTAGGTACTCACAAGAAATGGATATGTAACTGTATAAATATTTACTAATCAGTACACTAACCTTTTTTTTCTCACTGTCATATATGGATATGAGTTCGATCACCGGCTTACTTCATGGAGAGTGCCAAACAAAATAGAATAAAGCAGCTATCTAATACACTCAAGCTTTCAATTATATAGAAATCTCTAACTGATTTCGGCTGATGATCAAATTTTGAAATAAATCGATTTCCTTTTTTTGTTTTTGATTTTTGTTCTCATTTTCCATAGAGTTGGGACTACTGGGGCAAAGAAAAGACGCTCCTCAGTTATACCTGCTTCACTTCGTAAAGCGAAGAAAACTAACAGGACGTCGAATAAATCTGCTAGAATGGATTAAACCCCTTTAACTTCGAGAATATAGTGGGTAGAATTTTTCCCCAATGAGTTGTGTATCAATTTTTCACCCCTGTATATATGTATATCTGTTTATATACGTAAGTCATTGAGTGGTAGCAGTATGTTTGTCAACACTTCTCAGGTGGACTGGGGTTCGATTACCGGCCACCATCAGACGCATACTCCTCAGCCTTGTTTAGCTTTTGGGAATAAACTAGGGAAAGAGCGAAGGTCAGGCGTGAGGCTGGCTATCCCTCCCACTCATCTCTTGAAAAACATCTTTGCTACTGAAACTACAAAGCCTGAAGCTTGAATTTCTGTGTTCCACTTGGCGGAACGCAAAGGAATTGAAAGGGAAAATAAACAGTCTGATAAATGAGAATGTGGATATCGAAACAAAGCACTGTTCAGACAAAGGCTGGGGATGGGGGAGAGTTCTTTCCGAAGAATTAATCTGTGGTGAAAACTGTCTGCAAGAGAAATTTGTAGGCAGCAATTGATGTCATTGTTTACGTCCCGAATCGGGGTCATTAGAAGAAACAAGAACAAAGCTTAACCCTGAGAGGAACTCAACAACCAATCACAACAGACTTTGCGTCGGTGGATACGATTCGCAGATATATGGATAGCTTTGTAAGCACCGGTCACAAGCAGTACATAATAACCTTCAGTAAGAAAAACCAATGAGAAGAGGTTGCTTCTGTGCTAACAATAACACTAATAATAGTGTACGTAAAAATCTATAAATATCTGTTAATTTTCTCAATAAACGATCTGTTGCCTGGCCGTTGTCTTCTGTCGTTTCAAATATTCTTTAGCTGTGCAGTAGCATTTATATATTCAGCCTTCTTTCATAAAAGAAGATAGTAACACAAGGGGATGATTTGTGATAACCACAGTTGCTGATAATATTCATCAATTGAAAAGGAAGGGAACATTGAATAAGCAATATGTGTGGTTTGTCTATTCGAACGGATCTTCATTTTCGCTGGAGGTAAAAATGGCAGCAGTGGCCTAGTCAGTCAGTCAGTCGTACGCTATTTGGCAGAAGACTGGAGGGAAGCGATCGAAAACTTTATGCTGTAGTAGTAACCGTGTACTCTTGGTTCATTGTCAGGGTGAAGAAATAAACAATCCTCGAATCACCAATCTTTCTTCTATTCTTTTAAGAGTCGATGTACTGCACATAGTATCCTGAGGCAGCGCTAGGTTCATGCTCTTTTCCGTTTTGGACAATCGACACAATGTGTTAGAAGTTACACAGCAAGGCAGTTAATTTAATGAATGACCTGTAATCAATATGCACACGGAAACGGATGGGGGGAAAGTTTCACCATACATAAGAGTTCAAAAGAAATGTAAGATAATTCAAATATTTCCATTATGTAGTAATTATAGAACACAATTTTGGTAACTCCTCATCAGGATGTGCAATTACATATTATTATTATATTATTTCCTTGAGTTCCGAGTGGAACATGGGGCTTCAACAACACACCTCCACTTTGTTCTGTTTTTGCCTTCCTCTTCAGCTGGGTCCACGATTGACTAAACTCTCTCATCTCTTCCACACACGATCTTCTCCATGTCACCCTAGCACTGATGACCCACTCGTCGCTTCCCAATGGGATTCCACTCTAGGCATTGCCTGGGGTGCGATGTTATTGGATAATCTAAGCGAAATAATTTACTTGTCCGTGTGTATGGGAATATCAGTTTGTTGTTCTGTTCAGCAATAGGATCAGCTGGTGAATTCGTGTGTGTGTGTGTGTGCCCCAGGCTGCAGTGGGTGAAGCGACTTTTTAACTCACAACCCCATTGCCTAAAGGTTGAGTGCCTGAGTTAGTAGTGAGCTACATCTTCACCGATGAGACATCAGTTCGTTCGAGGTTTCAAACATACACACGCATACACCTTGTTGAGGAATCTCCAACAAGTGCGAAACCAAAAATCGACGACTTCATACGGATCACCCACAAATAAATTGGTCTAATATCGAGCTGTAGAAGTACAGCTTATCTTGAAACAAAAGTGATCAGTCTTTTTATGTTGTTGAACACACTGCCTAACTTCGATGCAACTGACATCAGTCAGTCAGTCTGTATTCGACATAGAACTTTGCATTGATGTGCTGCAGTTCGAGTCGCCACACTTCATCCAGCATACAAAGCAAGAGAAGAAAGTAGAAGAGATGCGTAATAGAAAGAGTAAACAGAGATGTGCGACAAAGGAATAGGAATAACGAAGAACAAAACAGTCTCATTGGAAATCATCAGTCACAAGGAGTGGATGCATCCGCGAAGGCCAGTCATTGAGAACGAT